GTATCTTGTTAAGGATTTTTGCATCTATATTCATAAGGGATATTGGTTGATAGTTTTCTTTCCTTGTGTCTTTGCCTGGCTTTAGTATCAGGATAATTGTAGCTTCATAGAATTAGGAAATGTTCCCATCTTTTCTGGATAAAATTTTGTAATAAAATTTTCTCATTTAACATATCATAAACTTTTTCATGATATTCATAATGAATTTTTTAATGGCTGCCTAATATTCTTGCTATTAGTTGTACTAGAACTGGTAAAATCATTCCCCTATTTACATCTGTTTCAAATTTTTCTCTATTATAGATAACATAACAGAAATCATTTTTGTGTGGGTATCATTTTATTCTTCAGTGTCTCATTTTTTTAAAGTACATGCTTTGTATTTAAAATCAGGCCAGGTGCAGTGGTTCATGCCTATAATCCAAGCACTTTGGGAGGCCAAGGTGGGAGGATTGCTTGAGGCCAGGAGTTTGAGACCAGCCTGAGCAACATAGTGAGACCCCCATCTCAACAAAAGCTTAAAAAAAATTAGGGCATGGTGGCATACACCTGTAGTCCCAGCTACTTGGCAGCTAAGGCAGGAAGATTGCCTGAGCCCAGGAGAATGAGGTTACAGTGAGCTGTGATTGTACCACTGCACTCTAGCCCAGGCAACAGAATGAGATACTGTCTGAAAAATAAAATCAGACTACAAGGATTCTTCATAAAGCTTAATCAAATGTAGTGCTGATAATTCTGAGATATTTTTTCTGCTTGTTTCATGCGGTTTATTTAGTCTTATCCATAATGTTGCAAGGTGGTAGGCAATTTAAAATTTTAATTGATGGCTTCTTTACTCATTTCATGAGTAGTTAGAGTGGAAAACCATCCCCATTCACTCACCATTAATGTACTTGAGTGACTATGATATTTGAACTAAAATCAGTCCTGCCTTAGTAATGTGTTTTCCCTCTTCTGAAATTGGAGTACGAGTACTCTGTTACCATGGATATTTGCTATTTAAATATTCTGAAAGGTTTAAAATGCTGTCTTGTCTTTGTGGGCTCTTATAATGATGAGCAATAAATTATCCAAGAAGATAATTACAAATTATATGTTAGTATTAATGCAGATGAAAAATCATTTAATGTAGTTTAAAAATTTGCATTACTTCTGTTATGACTGAAAACTGCATCTGTTTAAATCTTTCTTTTTAACAGATGTTTCTATTACTACTAAAGTAAATATAAATGATTTATAGATTCTCTGGGAAGAGAAGTACTAACTACTCAATAAGAAGAGATTTTAACCTTAGAATGAAGTAGCATCTTAGCATTTTGCTTTGCTGATAGTTTTCTTTCCTTGCATTCCTTTTGTTAGTAAGGATATATTTGACTAGTCTTAGAGCTTGAGAAATTATTTCTATTGTTGAGCAGGAAAGCTTAGAAAATTTAAAGGGTGAGTAATTCTGCTGTCACATTTGAAACCTAGAGGTACAGTCTGAAATTACATATTAGCTGTTACGGAAATGAGCTTACTCATAAAATTCTGCTGCATCCTGCAGAAAATATGGCAGAGATTTGATTTAAATCTCCCTATGTGTCACAATTACTGATTATAATATAAATATGCCAGATACTGTCTATGAAATATATGGAATGGGAGTTATTAAGCATTTTATTCTGAAATATATTATCAGTTATAAAATGGAAAATTGCTGGTCTAATAAAAATATAGGAGCCCATACAATTAATTCTGCTATACAACTGCTACTACTCTAATCCCATATCTCCAATTGACTACTTGACATTTCTACTTGGATGGCCTTATTATTTAATACTAACCTATTATCTAATGCTGAGTTCTTGGGCAGTGATGCCACTTCCAATTACAATGTTTCCATGGAAAAAAAATAGTCTCTGCTTTGTGACATGTCTTATAGCATAATGAAAAATGACTGCTTTCTGTTTAAAGGACACTTGTGCTTGCTTCTTTCATTATCTCTACAAACTCTATATCCCAGCTTGCATTCTTCTCTCATCCCAAACTGCCTCCAAGGCAAGACTGTCTGGCATAGTTGAAAGCACTGGACTTGTGTCCTACTCTGGATTCTGCCACTTAAATTGTATGACCTTCCCTGGACATCATTTTCCCTTATTTGTAAAATGAGGGTGTTGAACTAGAAGATCTGTAACATTGCTTCAGTTCTCTTGCTGTAAAAATTGAGGTGTTTAAGTGTATCACTCTGGATAGGTTGTATGACCTGTCACCAGTTTTCTTCTGGTCTCAACATCTTGACTGTTTATTACCCTTATCCATTCAGTTATCAAACAGCTTTGTAAATTGTTTTCCATTTGAAATTTTTCATATCTTTTAATTTTTCTTTCCATTTTTGCTTATCTTAGTTCAGGCCTAGATTACAACAAAAGCTTCCTGTTTAATTCCAATCTTACCTCACTCTATTTTGTCCCCATAGTGCTTTTAAACTAATCTTCCCTAAAGACCATTTTCATCAAATTACTTCTACTTTGAAAATGTTATCAGCCCTCTTCTACATATCATATGACTGTTTCTGGGTCTTCTGTTGAACTTGCAAATCCCGAGCACTGATTTTCTGTTTTCATCATGTTGGTATATGGTTAAATGATATATGTCACCTCTCCCTGTTTTTTTCCATCTGTGATTTTATGAAGTTATTCTCCTTACCTGAATGCCTTTTTCTTTTTCCCCTTCTATCATTCTGAAACACTACCTTGTGAAACTTAACCCAGCCACTTTAGCAAAATGTGGCATTTTCTGTGGATCTATGCTTTTCTAAGAGTCCAAAATGATGGCAAGGAATAGAAAAAGAAGAATACATCTCTCTATTGAGTTTCACCTATATGCCAGGCATGTTAATCTCACTTAAACCTCTCAATAATCTCTTGAGATTGATGGTATTAATGACATTTTACTACAAACTCTGAGGCTGAAAGAAACAAACTAACCTACAGAGGTTATACTGCTAGTGAGCAGTGGAGCTGGGATTGGAACTCTGGAGTCTTTTTACTTCTAACTGAAAAAAATGACCAAAGAAGCATTAATTGCCTTTTTTTTATACCCCCTCCCTCAATAAACACATAAACAGAATTAAAGGTACAAATTTAAGTGCTTAGCATTTAATCTGGCACCTAGCAGATATTCTCTCAACATTTAGATGAAAATTTGTCTTAAGTTTTGAAAATACAGGTATTTTAGGAATTCCTTTTTCTACCTCATTTATCAAAGGAGCTTGAAGTAGGGGAGGCCTTTCATATGATAAGGAGTGTCTCATTTTGTTTTAGGGACCCCAAGGAAATTTCTAATGTTGTGGTTTGAAGTCAGAGGGAAAATAGCAAAGCATTTTCTTTTTTCCAATTAAAGTCTGAGAAAGAGATAGCCTTCTTGTGTGTATTCAGCAATCATAATTCATAACAATGACTAGATAACATTAGGGCCAAGGAGGAACAACAATTCAATTAACAAGCAATGTTAGTTAATGAGATTTTAGAAGAAGTTAAATTATTCGAAGTCACATACTTGGACTCATCAATGACTGTTATTGTGATAATGTGGTTTTTAAGAGTATTAGAAAGAATGCTCTTTCTCAACTTAGTTTCATTCTGAATGTCGTGGTCATCTTCCAGGGATAATGACCCCATCTTTGTGGCTTCACTCATCTCTCCTATGAGATTGACTCCTATGAGATTGTGCCTGCTTGCAGTCCTTTGTAGCTCTCCCACACTTTAATCCTGCAGCTTCAATCCGCTGCTAGATATTTCCATTGATGACCTGTCATTTCAAATTCAGTATTCATCACGTTTTGTGTTATATAATTTGTATGTTTGTGTTATCATATTACCTTCCCAAATAGAGTATAAAGTTTTTGTGTAAGGACTTAAACTCCCTGTACGTATTAAAGTGCTGTGTGTATAATAGAAATTCAAATACATGTGATTCCAATAGTCTTTATGAGTAAAGTAGCTTCTCTTTTGGTAACTTCAAAAGCCTAGGAATCATCCAGAGTTCAGGTACAATTATAAACCCTATGGAACCAAAAAGCAACAATAAGATGCTGTTTTGTACCTTATAAAAATGAAAGCAATGTTTCTGAAAATTGTTATATTCTCTTTGTAGAAGAAAATACTTTATCTTTTTATGAATGAATTAAATACATTTATTTAAAATTAAATCTATTAGAACTTTTGAAGGTAACAAATATGTTTATTACCTTGATAATGGTGATGGTTATGTATATGCGTAAACTCATCAAATTGTATACAGTATACATCAATAAAGCTGTTAAAAAATTAAATCCACTCTGTTTAATAGGCAATATAAAATTATAGAACATATTTTTGCTGTTTGTCTAACTTTAAATTGCTTTGATTTTCTGTGTGTTGAACTTGGTTTTATTTCTCCTTTGTCTATACTTTGTTTTCCATCATTTTTTTCCTAATACTTACGGTCCTTAAAGTGTTTGCAGCATATTTTAAATTATTTTAATTGTCTTGAAGTTGTTAATACAGACTTGAGGACAAAGACCATGATTTGTCTTTATGTTGGAAGTATGTCTGGCACAGTCTATGATAGAAAACCACTTAGTGGCAGATCACTCAGATCTCCCAAGATGGAGACCCGAGCTGCTTATTCATTAAGTTGTCTGGGCTGTAGTCACATTCATGTTATAAATTAAAAACCTTACTGATGATTGACTCTTAACTTCCATTGTAACAGGTCTTGATTATGGTTTTAAGCTTTTGGAAAACGTCTTTTATTGAATAAGTAAATACATACATAGAGTATATTGATGTTGCTGCTTTGTATAAAATAGGCATGGATCAAAATTAATGTCCTCCAATTCTGTATTTGCCATGAGTCTTATATTAAAGTAACTTCTAATCAATGTGTGATTCAATCAACATGTGATATATTGTGATGTTTAAAATATAATTTTAAACAATTTTGCTTTCCCTATCCCCACCTTCCTTATTTTTATACAGTTACCAGGCAGTGACATTGCCAGTGGGAGTGATGTACTTTCTGATGTCATACCCAGTATTCCAAGTTCACCTTGCCTGCTTCCTAAAAAGAAAAACAAGCACCGGAATTTAGATGAGCTTCCTTGGAGTGCAATGACAAATGATGAGCAGGTAAATATCTGCACATTCTTTTTGTTGTTATTGTTTTTTTGTTTGTTAGGTTTTTTTTTGAGACAGAGTCTTGCTCTGTTGCCCAGGCTAGAGTGCTGTGGCATCAGCCTAGCTCACAGCAACCTCAAACTCCTGGGCTCAAGCGATCCTCCTGCCTAAGCCTCCCGAGTAGCTGGGACTACAGACATGTGTCACCATGTCTGGCTATTTTTTTCTCTATATATTTTTGGTTGTCTAGCTAATTTCTTTCTATTTTTTTAGTAGAGATGGGGTCTCGCTCTTGTTCAGGCTGGTTTCGAACTCCTGACCTTGAGCTATCTGCCCGCCTCTGCCTCCCAGAGTTCTAGGATTACAGGCGTGAACCACCATGCCTAGCCTCCACATTCTTAATTAAAAACATATATGTGGAGAATATGTGAGGCTCAGTTTATTGCTGATTGCTATTTAAAGCTACTGGGCAAATGTAGATTGCTTAGTAAATCTAAATTTGAGCTTTAACCATTTTTCAGGGAACGAATATAATCTTAAGTACTTCTAATATATAAAATACATTATAATTGACATACTAAAGGATCAGAGGTTTTAGTAATGATATTGTTTGTTATAATTTTTTATCATATAGGTGGAATATATTGAGTATCTGAGTCGGAAAGTCAGTACTGAGATGGGTCTTCGGGAGCAACTTGATATTATTAAGATCATTGATCCTTCTGCTCAAATCTCCCCTACAGACAGTGAGTTTATTATTGAACTTAACTGTCTCACAGATGAAAAACTGAAGCAGGTATGTAAAAAAAATACAGATTGTTTACCTATTGAAAATACCACCATATTATAAAATGTAGACTAGAGTAATCATTTGTAAATGCATAGATAAATAAACTCAAAATCATTGTTGTAAAATATAATATTAGGAAAAATGGTGGTAATGTTTGAGAACATGTGGTTTTAAGAGGTTTTATGCACATCTCACGTAGCAGTACCTTTCTGGGATCAATGTGATTCTAGAACCTGCTCTTCCATTGTATGGGCTTTGAAACTTAATGTCACCACTGAAGGGGTGGTTATGCTAAGGTATAGATTTATTCTAATTCAACTTACAGGAGACTAGTTGACAATCCAAATACTGATTTAAGCTATGCTTTGGTAAACATCTGGGCTGAGGGGTTTGAGTTAAAACTAAAAAGAGCTTTGCTGCTCTTTTTCTCTAGTACATGGCTGAATGAATGTTTGTGTCCTTAAGTTCTACTTTTGGTTTTTTTGTTTTGCATTTATCATTATTTATGAAAATTTCTCTCATTTCAGTATTTCTCCAGACAGACACACTATAATTTTCTTCATTGCAGCTCATTTTTCATTAGTATGGTAAATTATCTTACATTTGAAGACAGGTACTGTTGGCCTTTAGCTAAGATTTAGGAAACGCCCTAATGTTAGATACAATCTGCAACTTACTTAAATCATCTTAAGTGGAGACCTTTAACAAATATCTAATTTCATATATTTTATTTTGTTGCTAGTTTCTATTTCAGTGTTATTTTCTTACAATCTTAAATTCTGAAGGCCAGTAGCCTTCCATTTACTGATTATATTTTATATGCTTTAAAATCTAGCTTATAACGTGTTTTCTAGAATTTTGAACATTGTCCATTTTTCTGGTACTTATTTCTAAATTTAGAGATTTCTTTTGCCCTTCTATTCTACCTTATTTATGCATCTGCAGCACTTTTGACAATCTTTTAGATTCAGTACAATGTGATTGTTTTTCCCCCCAGCATTTTGAGGGTAGAGGGTCAAGATACCACATTAACCAGTTTTTTTCTGTGTATCCCAAGGTCAGAAACTATATCAAGGAGCATAGCCCTCGCCAACGGCCTACAAGAGAGGCCTGGAAGAGAAGCAACTTTAGTTGTGCAAGCACCAGTGGAGTGAGCGGTGCCAGCGCCAGCAGCAGCAGTGCCAGCATGGTCAGTTCTGCAAGCAGCAGTGGGTCCAGTGTTGGAAACTCTGCTTCAAACTCCAGTGCCAACATGAGTCGAGCACACAGTGACAGCAACCTGTCTGCAAGTGCAGCAGAGCGGATTCGGGATTCAAAAGTAAAACGTCTAATCAATACAAAACTTTACCTTTCAATATTAACATTAGTATTCCTTCACATAAATTTCTTGAAGAGTTAAAATGATCCTGCTATCTAGATGCCTGTGGGTTTGGTTTTAATTGAACAAGCAGGATGCTCTGCTGTTGAACAAAGCACTCCAGGCTGAGTGCTTTGACATGCCATTTTGACCCACAGCCATATCTCATTCAATTTTATCTGATTTTTGTGTCTAAGTAAGAAAAATTGATGGAAATAATGAATTATCTCGATTGCGATATTGACTGCAACTCACTACTGAGCGAATCTCACTATGTTGCTGATGTTGCTGTCTATTAGCTCCTAAGAATGTTGTGTATGTGTTTTGTGTGTGTTTAATGTTTTCTCAATGTTTTAATCTTGAATGTTTCTTCTTGGCTAATTTAAAAATGAAATAATGCTCTCTGTAATTTCCATCTATTCTTTCACAGTTGAAAAATTCTATATAATATATAGAATTATATCTAAAAAAGATATAAGCATATATATTAAATAGAATGGTGCTGTGGCTTAGCAGGGGAGCTTATTTCCTTGCAGTGGAAAGAGTCTAGAGCCAGTTTAAGGATGATAAGAGAATCTGTTTAATTCTTTGGGAACCCAGTGATGACTTGAAGATACACAGTGATTCCTTCTCTGGTTCTTAGTGAATGAAGTAGCAGAAACATAGCCAGCTTTGTTGGGATGTCTCTGGATGTGTGGTCATTCCTTTTTGGCATCAGTTCATCAGTGACAAGGGTTGGAGTACTCACAGGGTTTCTAATGGACTTTTAAGATGGTATTTGCCTAATATGAAAAAGGCATGACTTTTTCCCCAGCCATTGTAAAATTGCTAGTGTTTTTAGATGAAAGGCACCTGAGAATGATAAGCATTAGAAATTTGGGCAATGTTCTCAACATTTGTTTTTAGTATTGTCCCCGAGTGTTAATTGTATGTTCGCTGTACACTGACACCCATGTACCTTAATTGGATTAAAAAAGGGAAGGCTTTGAAATGACTTGTTTATTCATAACTAGCCAAAATGATCAAGTTTCAGCCCTTCTAATCAAAAGGGTCACTGGTCAAATACTATAAAAATAGAATCTTAAAGAATTATTTTCTAGTCTAAGCCAATGGCTCACTTATTGGAACAAGGATCATACTAACAGCTCTTAAAATTTAGAAAATAGAGAATTTGATTCATAAAACATTTTAGGGTGGATATGCCAAGAGCTAAACCTTACTGATTTAGAAATTTTTATTTTGACAGAAGCGATCCAAGCAGAGGAAGTTACAGCAGAAGGCCTTCCGCAAGAGGCAGCTGAAAGAGCAGAGACAGGCCCGGAAGGAGAGACTCAGCGGGCTCTTCCTTAATGAAGAGGTGCTGTCCTTGAAAGTGACTGAGGAAGACCATGAAGCAGATGTTGATGTTTTGATGTAATAAGGGTGAATTTATCAGCATTCTTTCTGAGCATTAAAGTATTCTATCCTTATTGGTTTACATGCATCTTGACCAAAATTTTGGTTAGGGCTGTGCTGATGTACCATAAATAATTTAGGCTAGTGGTTCTCAGCGGGTGGTTCAGGGACCTGCCGCTTCATCATTACCTGAGTTGTCCAGAATACATACATACTACTGGGCCCCACCCCCAGACCTAGTGAAACAGAAACCAGAGGGGAGGGGCTCAGCGTTGTGTTTTAACTAGTGCCAGATTATTCTGATGCACATTCTAGTTTAAAAACCACTGACTTGGGTAAATGTTTTGACTATTTAAACATTGTGGTGGTTAAGTGAGCTTTTTCAAAGACTAGTACTTTCACAGTTTTGAAGATTTCAAAGTACTGCTGTCAAGTAGTTTATTATGTCAGTATATGTAATGTGTGAAGATCATAATTCAGTTCCCTTCTTAATGTTACAGTTTCTTAGTTTACTTTTTCTAAAGGGCCATAGCATAATTCCTGATTCCTGGTGGAAATCTTTTTTGAGGTGTGGGTGTGGGCAAGGTGTGGATTGCTGTTTACAATAGTGCCTTCATTAGGTTTAGTTCTATTTTCATTCATTATTAACTCAAAGGTATAAGAACAGGCCCTAATCTTTTTCCTGTTAGATTTATTTTTTGTTTTTCACTTTATGTAAATGCATTATCCTCTCTGTAAGTGATGACTACTGAGGAAGTAATGTTACTAATATCTGAATTTTAGACTTGATGCTATGTTGATTATTATTCAAATTGAGAAAGCAATTAGGCAAAAGAACCAGTTATACTTTTCCATTGCTTTCTGAAATTTTAGGCTGTAGAATTGTCTCAGAGGCAGAAAATAAGTCTCTCTATAGCTCTTTCAAGTCCTTTTTGTAGGTCTTTTTATTTTTCAGCACAGCTCTAATTTTCAAATATTTGGTATAACAGCTTCTGGCATGTGACCTAGTTAATGTTCAAAATTACCTGATGAAGACCCTTATAGTTCCGCTAAACTTCTCTATAAATTACTAGACATATACAGAGCAGTAAAGATATAGAAACCTTAGCTTGTTGGTTATTAATAGAACCCTAATTTTAAATGTGAAATCATGGAATTTCTTTAAATGTTTTCATAGAGAGTTTGTTATGAACATTGGGAATAGCCTGATTCCTTTTCTTCTACCACATGTCTTGAACATTCACATGGGTTAAAGAAGATGGAAACTGATACTACTGACAATCAAGCTGCTTGCTGACTTTCATAATTTTCTTTTTATTGTGGGTGACATTTGGGAGGTAATCATGATTCTGTAGAAAGAGTTTTAATCAATATTTTTTGAACTCTAGAGTCCAGAGGTTAATGGGATTTCTACTTTTTACTTTTTGTTTATATCTAGTAGCTTGTTAAGAAAATGATTAATGACTTAAATTCTTAATTCTCAGTTGATATGAAGGCTTAAATTTTGCTTACAATCATGTGTTTTAAATTTTTTATTTCATTTTGGTTCCTTGAATATTAAAAAATGAAAACAAGGCCGGGCGCGGTGGCTCACGCCTGTAATCCTAGCACTTTGGGAGGCCGAGGCGGGCGGATCGCTCAAGGTCAGGAGTTCGAAACCAGCCTGAGCGAGACCCCGTCTCTACCAAAAATAGAAAGAAACTAATTGACCAACTAAAAATATATATACAAAAAATTAGCCGGGCATGGTGGCGCATGCCTGTAGTCCCAGCTACTCGGGAGGCTGAGGCAGTAGGATCGCTGAGCCCAGGAGATTGAGGTTGCTGTGAGCCAGGCTGATGCCACGGCACTCACTCTAGCTTGGGCAACAAAGTGAGACTCTGTCTCAAAAAAAAAAAAATGAAAACAGAGGATAAAAATTAATGCATTGCAGCTTTGCCAAGGTCTGTGGTATGGTTGTAACCTTTTGAAGACTACTAAATCATAATTTAAAATTTTACTAAAATAAAAGTATATCTATTGTTTTCTATTGGAATTATCCTTCTGACTTTCCCTCTACTCCCTCTTTGGTACTCTTAACCAGCTTAGAGGGCCCAAAGAGAGCTTGGGGATAGACTCCAGAATACTCTGCAAAAGGTAGAAAGAGTCAACCTTGTTGTTTTCCCTGCCAAGTATAGGAAGAGCAAATGGAAAGAAGAACAAATATATCTGTATTCCTTAGCTGTTCTTAGCAAAAGCAAAATCCCACAGAATGATTTCCTAACCATGTTTACTTATTCTTCAAAGAAAATAGGCCCCTTTTAGAGACCATAGAGCAGTATTTATCTGTCAAATACTTAGCAACTATTTTTTTGACAGTGACCAGTAAAAGAAAATCCTAAATAAAGTCATGATGTAAATTAAGACCAATTCCTCTACTCTCCCAACAGTCAAATAGTCTTATTACTTTATATTTAACTTAAGATATTCTTAAACAAGTTTACCAAAGTGCTGCAATGCCAATTTTTAAAGTTTGTATAAGCGCATCATGAAGTTTTGTGTAAATCTGGATGCACTGTCGTTACAGTGCTATAAATTAGAGATAGCCTATAAAGTTGGTCTGGAGGAGTTTGAAATTATTTCCTTTGATTGAAAGAAAAAAATTAAATTAAACAACTTGGGCTTGCTTATGATCCAAGAGGGATATTAAAAAGTCTTTATCCCCCCCCCCAAAAAAAGAAGCCAGCAGAAAAAAGACATAAGCAAAAAGCTCTTTCATCTTTGTTAATGTGCTATACTTTTTTTCTGTTTTAATGCCTCATGTAGATAATTCAAGTTTGAATTATCTCTTTCTTGGAATATAATTATTTAATCAAGTATACTCTGAGTCCAATTTAAAATGAATTCAAATCAGTATTCTTTCTTTTTAAACATAAACCCTAACTAACCAATGAAAAAAAGGCAAGATGTATTTGCTCCAGTGTTGGTTCTCATCTGTAAGGAAACTGACATTGGAGTTCCAACTGACATTGGAGCAAGTAAGTCTCCCTTTTAAAAATAAACCTTGTTGAGTGAGGGCATGATAAATTCCCCACACATTTATCCAGATACATTTTATTAAAGATCTTGTAGTATCATCAGTCCGTACCACTGCTTTTTCAAGGATGAACTTTGAGTTAAACAAAATGGCATTTTTCTATGGTCTTGCAAAAATTAAAGGAAAGCAATATACTATAATATGTAGTGGAGTAAGGTAGGGCTAGTTCATTCTGTCCCAACAAGAACTTAGAATAAAATAACACTTTCTTACATAGGACTTGTCTCATTTTTTATTAGGCTGTGGCAGTTTTTTCCAGTTCCCCTGTCCTTAGGGCAAATTAGATATTGCTGAATTAACCTCAGAAATTGACTTCTAAAATAATGACTCTATAGATTGGGTGGATATCTCATTTTATTTAGCTTTTAAAAGTGTTAAATCCCCTCATAAAGGAAAAGTTACAAGAAACAGCTGTATAAAGGTATCTAGATTCTGATGAGCTTTAAAAATTGTAAAATTTATCAAATGTCTTCATATTTAAGCCAAAAATGTTAGTATACAACCAATGTAGAAGTCTTGTTTGTTTCCAGTTCTCTAGCAGAGACTTTTTGTTCGTGGGTTACTCTGTATAGCCTCATGTGCCTTAAAGGTGGTGAACTCTGTACTTTTTGTCAATATCAGCCTTTTCCAAGCTCAAAAGCAATCTAAATGTAATTTGCTTTATACAATGCCTGTGGTGTCAGATATCAGTAAGCAAAGCCATTAAATTGAACCAATCAATGGTAATAGAGTGTAAAACAAAACAGAAACCTTAAGATCTTAAATTTCATTTGCATAACTTTATTTTTGGCCCACCTAAATCATTGCAGAACCTTGAAAATTATCTAAAGTATGGCTTAATGTATTCTCTTTTTTTCCTGAAAAAGATTGCAGGCTAGGATATTTTTAAAAATCAAATAACTTTTAGATCTGGAAAGTTAATTTTCAAGGTATAGGCAGAAGCACTTTGACAGAGATTATATAGCAAGTTGATTCTCTTGTTAACTTTAGGGATTCTTTGAATTCATTTGTGTAATAGCTGGAACACTCCCCTCCCCTTTCCTGTAACAAATGACCTTTTAACACATCTGTCTTCAAGAAAAATGTTTGTTTGGAATTGGTAGGGGGGTTACTTAAAGTCAGTGTATAGTTTGGGGCAGTTGATAGAAAAATCCCTAGTTGCATTCAAATAATAGTGTTGATGTTGAGTGCACTGACATTCAACGTGTCTAAACTAGAAGTAATTTTAATCCTGAAAAGGACTATTAGTTAGAAAATAAGTGTTTGTATACACATGTACTGTGGTAACTTTGGATTCGTTTTAAGTCTGCTAAAGTAAGATAAATTTTATCTTAAAATGAAATTATGTTAAGTAGGTAAGAACCATCTGAAGAGATATTTTGAACTAGGCATCTCTGTCAGCATAGTAGTATCTGGAACATAATTCCTTAGAATACTTGAGTCTTATTACTTTGGAAAATAACTTATTCCGAAAGGCTTAAAAGGAACTCTGAAAATTCTAACTGGCTATTAAGAGTAAGGAAGTTGCATGGTATAGCTGAAGATCTGAGTTGACTCACTAAAGTTTTATTTTCATATTTTTCCTAGTATTAGAATTATTTGTTTTCAGCTCTCCCGCCAATTATTTTTTTAAATTAAGGTTGTTATTATTATTAGTGTTTAACCTAGATCACATAATGATAAATTAAATTTTAATTTGACATTCATACTGAACTCAGAGAAACTGGCTTGGCCTTCTCTGAATTCTGTATGCAGTACTTTTTCTTTATTGTCAAGTTTCTTTGTTATATCTTTGTGGTCAATGAAACCTGTGAAAATCTGTGTTCATTTTTGTGGTGTGAGGGATGAAGGTGAAAAAAGGGAGAATTGCTCTAATTATACATATACATTTTGACTATGTAAAGGTAGTTGTAGAATTAATATGTATAAATGATAAGTTAACACTATTCTGAATTGTTCTAAGGAACAGTGGCCTGAAGCCATGGCTTATTTTGTGGAGCTGATTGCTCTTTCACAGTAGCTGACCTATCGGATTTAAATTAAGACTTGCAGTTAGATTATCTAGCTGAGGCTTCTAGGAATGGAGCAGATAATGTCTGTTCCTGTAGTGGATCAATTTAATTTCCTATTTGAGTCCTCTAATTTAGATATAAATATTATTCACTCTAAATCTTTTTGTTGGAAATTAATAGGAGTGTTGTCAAAAGCTATTAATGATAAACACAAGTATATGTAAAACGTTTCACAGATGGTTAAGAATTTCAAATTGTGGGGGTTCTGTTTTTGTTTTTTAGTTTCAAAGATTAGTTATGTAGCATCAATATCATAACCAAAGCAAGTAGGAAGTTGACTGGTTTGGAGAATCTTCAAGTAGTCTTAAACACTATCATGTATGAGATTGTTAACCAGGATTTATTTCCTGTATTCCTGCTCAATGTATTACTATATTAATGCACTTTTGTATATATAACTGTCTTCTGTACATTCTGTACTTACTACGTGTATATAAAAGCCTGTTTTTCCTGAAGCTGTGAGAGAATAACAATAGCTGTAAAACAAGCTGTTTCTATTTTGAGTTCCTCCTTGTACTTGAAAGTAGTTCAATAGTTAAATCTAAATGAGTATGTATGGTGTAATTAAAACTGGCTATGTGGCAAAGCTGTCTTTTGAAACTGAATATCAGAATGAAAAGTGTCGTTTTGATTATTAAGAATCCTTGTAATAATACCATTTTTATTGTTTCTTTTGATATACCTTGAGTTTTTACAAACCTCACTGCTGCTTACTACTTTATACTTCTGAGTCAGCTCCTTTCATGCTCCATCCCAGAACATTTACCACCACAGAAGAATTGCTTTCTTTTCTTTTGTTCACAGTTTGGTTAGGAATCTAAACTTCTCTTTTGTGAAAGCCGTAGTTTCCCAAGTGTCATTGGCAAATTATTTTTTTCTGTAGAGATCAGAGTTCTAGAGAGATTAGCATTCACAGTAAGTGAAAATTAGATCTTATTTTTTGCTCAAAAAATAAGATCTATTTTCCTTATATATTGATCCAGAACCTTTTTAAGTTATAATTTTCTATAAGAAATACCCGTGAGCAATTTTATGCATAGAGGAGCAATTCAGGAATTCAGCAGCAACTTTATCTCTTGCCACTAGAGGGAGGTCTGTGGTTGCTCTCTCCTTTGGAAAATAGCTGCTTTTGTTTTTAATTTCAGAGGTTGGAATAGGCCTTATTCTCAAAATTCCTTTTGTAGTATTAAATACTTTCATTTATTAGTCAAAGGTAAGTTAATTAAGCTTGTTAATGAAGCTGATCTTATGCTTTTCTGTAATCTTCAATTTTTAATAAATGTGAGTTAGATATTAAGTGAAACTTGGGTGTGTGTATGTTTTTCTTCCTAGGTACTCAAGAGCTGCACTGTCCATTATAGTAGCCACTAGCCACATATTGCTATTTAAATTAATTAAGGTTAAATAAAATTTAAAATTTAGTTCTTTAGTCCCATTAGCAAT